GTGTCTAGAAATGTGCTGTGAAATTAAACCCTTTATTGAGGGGATTTCTGTGAGTTTAATCCCATACTTCAGGTATTTGTCTGAGTTTTAAGGTCCCAATATGGTCTTCTATGTCAAATAAGAGGTTGGGGAAGTTATTCCTCATACTGCCTTTTGTGTGTGTATGTGTGGGATTTGCCTTTCAGGATTAACACATGTTTTTATTATTAGCAGTGGGACTGAAATATTTTACTGAAATAAGAGTATGAATTAAAGTAAAATAATCAGGCGTACTTTTCTATTAGAGTAAAAGTAAGTCCATGCTTTTAAATATACTTCGATTATTAACGGTCTACCACATCAGTATGGCTGAGTCTCGGAGATGACCTCTTCCAAAGCCATATTAGATGTTTCTTCACCAATGCATTACATTCATTACATTCCACCACAGAAGATATCTCACTCAACATGTCATTGTTTTGGTAAAGAAAAAGCTCAGTAATTTATTAAATTCATATAAATGCATTATTCTTCTTTCATGTATCTTGTTTCACAGAGGCCTCAAAGAAGGGTCTCCCTCCTGCAGTGGTTAATGGCAGATCAGTGTGGGATGGTGGTGCTGTCACAACCAGGAGGTTCAACCAGTCTCAGACAACCCTGCTGGACCAGTGGCTCAGCCCAAGCAGTGCGACGAAGGGAGAAACGAAAGAAAGGATGAAAGAGCAGCGCTCAGAAAAAGAAGATGATGCAGGAATCAACACAGACAAAGAACAGCCGGTGGCCGTCCTGCGTGAAGAAACAGAGGCTATAAAGACAAGTGAGAGCCAACAAGACAAAATGGAAGTTCCCAAGCAAGACGAGATCCATGTGGTGTTGTGTAGGAAGCAAAACACAGAGGATTCCACTATTATTCCAGCTGAGGATATCAGCCCAGAACAAAATCTTGGAGAAAAGTTAAAGTGCCTGCTAACAGATGACGGCACAGAGGAAAGGCCCTGTCCAGTGCAGGAACAAATCCAGATACACACCATGGATGAGTCAGTTATCCCATCTGCAGATATCATACAAGAAACCACCTGTCCAGCACAGAGTTTTCCAAGCTTGGAAGAATCTACTGTCAATCAAATGACAGAGTGCTGGGATGAATACTATGTAGCTCCCACTGCTGAAGAAATGCATGATGGGACAAGCAGTTCTAATCTGGTATTTGCCTCTCTGCTGTCTAACACTCAAACCCACCTTAAATTCAGCGAGCGTCAGGATGAACAAACTGGCTGGCACATCCCTACAGGACCCGGCTTGGCAGAAGTTGTTCAGTGTCCACTGTGGCAATTTCCTGCTGGGAGCTATTACCCTCCAATGGAGACAACAGTGCCATTTGAAGGTGAGTCATAATTTTGATGATGTCAAAACATGCAACCTCTGACATTCCTTGGCTTCTTTTTTCTGTTATCCGTGCAACTTGGAAGGAGGTGAAGCTAAACCTCTACTCTACTTTGACTGTCAATTTTTTTTTTTCCAATCGTGATATATCCACTCTGGTGAGATTTGTTTTTGTTCTGTTACCATCATTCCCTTCCCTAGACTTAATCCGTTACCTGGAATTTGAGTATTGGCTGATGTGAATACCGTTCTCATATCAGTGTATTTAGAAATAATAACTTGTCTAATGTACTCCGAATGCTTGAAGAGATTAAATAGTCTAGAAATTCTTATATTATGTAGTTTGGCAGTCATCACTGAGAACTAACACAAATTAATAGATCTAGGAATTACGTCTTTTAAATACCTGTTTGTTGTCTTCCACCCAGTAATGTGGAGAGTATGGCAGGAGATGGATGAGAATGTGCCGGCAGCAGAGCCCACCCTGATCCCCTTCCCATCCACAAAGACCTCGATGGACTTCACTGTCATGTCCTACAACATCCTTGCTCAGGATCTACTGGAGGCCAACCAGGATCTGTACATACACTGTCCTCTAGAGGTGCTGGACTGGAGCTACCGCTGCAGCCTAGTCCTCGAGGAAATAATGAAATGGGCACCAGATGTGAGTCAAATGTTTTCCTGAAATCTAGTCTAGCTACATTTTATTTGATTTTTAGACATCCAGTAATGATTTGTGTGTTTGACCTCTTGTGTGTAGATACTGTGTCTGCAAGAAGTTCAGGAAAACCACTACCACGAACAGCTGTATCCAGTCCTGTGTGAGATGGGTAGGTCATCTGAGACAAATCAGAAGGGAAATCTTGTCAGGAGATATTGTAACACAGATAATATGTATGTTGTATTCATGTTGTCGCTCCAGGCTACACTTGTGTGTACAAGCGGCGTACAGGAACCAAGACAGACGGCTGTGCTACTTGCTATCGAAGCAGTTGCTTCTCTGAGGTATCGGTCACCTCTCTGGAGTTCTTCAGGCCGGACACGGAGCTGCTTAACCGGCACAATGTGGGCATTGTTTTGTTGCTTCAGCCATTGGTAACCCAGGGGTCTGAGACCAAGGCGAAGGGCCCGCTCCTCTGCGTGGCCAACACCCACCTGCTCTTCAACCCGAGGAGAGGTGACGTGAAGCTGGCTCAGTTGGCCATGATGCTGGCAGAGATCGACAGTGTGGTGAAGTCCTGTAAGGCCAAAGGTCAACAGTGTAACGTTGTATTGTGTGGAGACTTAAACTCAGTGCCACACATGCCTCTTTACCAGCTCATCACCACCGGAGAGCTCTACTACCAGGGTCTACCCACATGGACGGTGAGTCTGGAAAAACTCAAAAGAGCACCTGACGATAATCCACAGTCCTGCACCGGTCCATTTTTTCAAACCTTCACCTGCAAAGCTCCGGAACACACCCGACATGTTACCCCAAACTATTGCCATATTAAATCATCATATGAGTTACACCCTCCTTGTCCTCCTGTTTTGGTGGCTGAGTGTTCTTGGAAAAGTATATGTAAATTGTCGCAGCACCTGTGCTCCTGCAGCTGTTGACATGTTTCCTTAGCAACGACTTTCCTTGCTTTCAGCTTTCAAAAGCAAATACTTATTGTCACTCTTTCAAACAGCAGAGCCACTGAGAAAATACTCACCACTGGTTATTTGTCTTTATGTGATTCTCGTACTAGCGAGCTCAGTGTCCGTAATGAGTGGAAGTGAACCGCTCAAATGTGGTGTTGGCTTTCACAATAAAACAAAACTTTGTGAAAAATACTTAATCAATTTAATTACTGATTTCTCAGAAAAAGCATACCTCACTTCTCACCTGCTGATTTCCCACGTTTATTTAATTCTCACCGGCTGCCCGTATCCTTAAATTCATATGGATACATTTTTAGTTGTTACACAACTTGCATGTGCAGGACTCTGCTGTTATCAACATTTGTATACTATCTGAAAAAATATCAAACTGCTCCTACATCACTTTCTGTGGATCTTTTATTTGAAGTTTTCTTTAATGATGCTTCCAGTAGTTCCTCTATAACATTATATGCATTCATCATGTCTTACAGATTTCAGGTCAAGAGGACCCGTCCTACAAAACCCATTGTTACAGATTGTTCGCTCCCCTTTGGCCCAGCTGTCTGGGAATCAACGACAACTGTCAGTACACAGCTGTCAACGACATGTTAGAGTGCAGGAGTCAGGAATCAGGTTTGAAGTCTCATTACGATTTATATGCACTATTAGTTTTGTAATCTTGACCTCAGGAGTGAATTTCAGTGTTTGAATCTTACAGTTGTTGCTTTGTGCAGGGAAATGTCATTACAGCCACGACTTCATGCTACAGCTGCGCTACTGTCCAGCGGCATGTGTCCGTCCTGTGGACCTGAAGCTGATCCCAGGCGTGACCGACAACACACCAGGTAGAGTTGCACCACACAAACAAAGCAACACAGTACAACACAAACCGATTTCCTACCAGAAATGTTTTATGTGTCTACTTATTGCGCACAGATGCTTCAAGGGGAAATCAGACGTATGATAAAAGGTCAGTGTACTTGCAGTTTTTGTCACATTTGATGGATCAACAGTGGCTGCTTATGGCTACTATATCAATGGATATTAGACATACATTTTGTGTTACAGTTTCAGACACACCATCACACATCGGTTAGACCTGGAGTCGGTCTACAAACACATTCTCCCAGGCTCTGGCTCCTCAGAAGTCACAACCCTGCACTCTGAGTTTGGAGCCACTGTCGACTACATCTTCTTCTCCCCAAGACGCATCTCGTCCTCTGACCAGAGAGGTAATGGGGTCATGTCACGAAACACGTTGCACCTCTAAATGAATAATCTGCTCTTTTAATTAACTGATAAGTCTGTTTTTTGTCTTTTCCTTTAGCTGCAGAGGTCTCTGTGAGCTCAGGCCTGAAGTTGCTAAGCTGTCTCTCTCTCCTATCAGAGGACGTCTTGTGGTCATTGAATGGCCTCCCCAATCACATGTTCCCCTCTGACCATCTCAGCCTTTTGGCTAAATTTCAGCTGGACCTGAATGCTGCATGATGGGAAAAGACTGTGGGTGAACTCAGCGGGACAGAGGTCAGAGGATAAGCATATTTTGGATTTAGGTCTTGCTCTGAACACATTTGTTTTTTGTTTTTTGGTGTAAACCATTATGTGTGGTTCAGACAGGATCAGTTGATATTTGTGTTAAAAGAGTTCCTGTAACAATAATGACGATATTCAGTCGGTTTTCATCAGATGGTGAGACATGAGTGAGATATGACAAGTCATTAGTGCTGATGCAGTAGTTAATTTACAAAAAAATGAAGACAGTGATTACTTGTGATAAAACACGAACCTCTTTGTTTTGCTGATAACTGTTTTGACAACATTTTAATTTATTTGAAACATTATTTTGAAATGAGAATTAGTTTTCTCTGATTATAAGTTCATTCATTTTTGCAGAAGGTAAAAAAAACGGAATAAATATTTTCCATTAATTAGTGACCCTGTGAGTTTTGATCATGGGTGGCTGAGGCTCAAAAGGCTGAGTGGGTCGTCCACTAACCAGATGGTTGGAAAACCTTGATCTCGTCTGCTATTTTATGATGACGAATTAGCCTCTGGGGGCAACGGCCGTTATTTTGGGGTTGACAGCTGTGCAGGCAGTGTCTGATGGACAAAGCACTGTGAATAGTAGCACTGTGTGAATGTGTGCATGAATGGGTGTATGTGGCTTGTACTGTTAAGTGCTTCGAGTGGTCGATACATACACATACCATTAACCATTTTCTATCTTTACCATATTACAGACATTACATAGGCGCCTCCAGGCCTGAAATAAGAATGTATTGTTCCTCACTGCAGGATAATAATTCATCAGCTAGTATTAAATCTTTCACTTAGTGTTGATCTCCTTGGATTGTGACCTAAATGTTGGCTCCACCCCTTCCATCACGCTGAAGCACTCATTTTGTCAGGGCAAAGATCTGTGTGTGTGTGTGTGTGTGTGTGTGTGTTGTACAGAACATGGGAAGGCAGCAGGGGTGTCAGTACTTATTAAAAATACTCCTGGTCTCAATGGTCTCTCTCCAAGTAGAGTGAAATACAATTGACTAATATTATATCCGCATTTATGAATTCCTGTCATTAAATACTAAAAACAAATGTAACGGCTTATTGAATTAAAACAGGTGGTATGCTAAACAATAAAAATGTCAGGTTTTTAATAAAAAAACATGGGAATGCATCATGCCAATCGGTGTCCTCACTAAGATAGATGTACACATGTTTGTGTCTGGTTGATGCATGGATGAATAATTCATTTAGATAGTTGAGTGTCCATGCATGACAGAGCTCAGTATGGGAGCTTTGTGTTTTGTGCAGGCTATAGAATCTGTCTGTGCAGTGGTGTCTCATCAGTATCACATCTTTCACTTGCTTCTCACTCATTCCAGTCAATTTTCTTTATAAATTCCGTATATTTGTCATATTGTGCAATCCTCCATTACTTTTTTTTCTAATGCACAGCATAATCAGACTTTTCCTGAGGCATCAGATCCAAATGAACAAAATAGGTCAATAGGTTGTTTTTTTCCCCCTTGGGCCATTATGCCGTCTATTTCTATATTATAAACACTGCTGGTGTTTGTATCCTCCGCAGGAAGGGAGGATAGAGATTTGTTTATCTTTCTCAAGAGCTTCAACTTAGACTTCCAAAATATTAACTCATCTTTTTTGCTGAACTGACTTGCATACTCGCTCAGAATAGTTCTCTGTGCGTTACTTGCATCCCCAGCCCCCTTAGAGGTGTATTACTGGCCTGTGCATTGCATTTTAAGCGGTTCCTTGTTGACTGCTTTGCATTGAATGCAGCAGCCATCAAATCGTATTAGCTGATTGCAGTTTCGTGGGATGGACCTGAGGGATCCATCAAACAGGATCTCTGATCATGAGAGTAAAGCACAAGCTGCCAATACACTACCAGTGTTTTATGTAAGTACAGCAAACACTAAGACAATATGAGGAATGGAATGATAATGTGACACAACATCCATCTTTGTAGGCACGGGCTTTCAATTTGAACAATATTCTGAGTCTGAGTGTTTTAATTCACTGACGCCAACACTTTCTTTTTATAGACTTGTTGGCATTCGGTTTCTTTTGTGTAAACGTAACAGGGGTAGTGTTTGGAGATCTCTGTCTGCTCCTCATCTTCAGCTGAGGACAGCCTGTGCTCACTTCCAAATATTGGTTGACAGAAAACCGGCCCCGTTCCCTGCCTGACACCCAAACATCTGATTACAGGGTTTGTGCAGGGTCTTAAAGGGATAGTTCACCAAAAAGATTTAAATTCACTCATTATCTCACCACTATGCAGATCCATACTGCTCGTGTGGTGTCATCCAAGTGTCTGCAAGGCCTGAAATTCATATTCGACTCAAAATGAGGTAATTTACACCATGTTTTAAGCCTAAAAGTCTAACTGAGTTAGTTACTAAGTAGTACAATGTGCTTAGCTTTAAAGAAATACTGGATACGATTATGGACAAGTGTAAGTAATTCTGGGACTCTGATACCCCTTTATATCTGTCACACTTGAAATTGATCTTAAATGGAATTTATTATGGTCTTAAAAATTCCCACATTGAACTTTTTGGAGTTGGCAGAAATCCTGAATGACATACATAACACTTCATTTGTAGATATAAAAAGCAAAGTAATTGAATACATAACCACCACTTTGTGTTGCCTCAATCCTGGTGACACTTTATTGTGATCCTGTAAATCTTTTTATACAAAACAGTTGTTTTATAGAATATTCAACTGAAAATGGACCCACACCCACTGTACAAATAAAAATGTTGTGGCAACATATTCCGAACAATGCGTCTTAAATTTTAAGTGGTCTACTGGTGAACACCGAAGGAAGTATAAAATAAGAATTTCCTAGTTTAAAAAAATTTACAAAATCCAGATAAAAGTGTCGTAAACAAACTTCACACCTTTGCTTCAATGGAAGTCTGTTGCTTGGATACCACTTAAGGCTAGTGAAATATTAGATAAAGTCGCTACAATTTAAACAATGTAAAGCAGTTGTAGTATGTATATAATGACTTCTCAATAAATCACAGCTGGATGAAATGCAAATGAAGTCAGTCAATGTTCCCATCAGTCACCTTGATAATAGACCAAACTGACACATCGGGCATTTTCCTCTGACATCACACTCAGTGGGAAGCTCAATAACTGTGATCCAGGTTTATAATTCATCTAAACAGGGAACCTGACAACTGTTTTCATTGCTTGCAGTAGTTCGTTAAAGTAGATGGTAGATACAAAAGAGGGACATGGGACCTTTACCATTACAATGATACAATGGGAAAGACATTTAATTCCTGAAATATCAATGCACCTCTGGGACACAATTGTTAAAGCCTGAAAGTAAAATGCACTGGAATCGAGCTTGAAGTGTTAAATGTTCCATCCTTTGATAAAGTGCTTGTAACAAACTTTTGTGTTGATATAAACTGTATGAACATTACACAGAATATGTTCCTGTGAGCAGAATGTGACATAATGTTACTGACTTCACCAGAATATTTGTACGTTCTGCTGAAAAGACACAATGACAGTTAACGTTACATCGCTCGCTTGATTACATCCAGCACATCTTCATCTCAGTCTCCAATGAATGTGTCCAAGATGTGCTTTGATATTTAATGATGTCTAAAGCTGATTTGCTGTCAGATATGTTTAACCTTGAAACATTGTCCCATTGGCTTCCAGGTGTTAACTAATAGTCTTTTCAGTTGCTGATCAGTTAGGACATAGTGAAATTAACAGTTTGTCAGATTCTCTGTGTTTTTATGACTTATAAACCTGGATCACAGCAGAACGACATTATTCTGTTCAAAACACCATTTTAGCTTCCTACCCTGAAAGAGGAAAATGGCTGCTGTGTATGGTCTACTTCGTTAACTGAAAGATTTTATATTCATCGAACAGTCTCATATTTTCAAATATTCCAATATACTTGGGTATATAATCATAATTCAACTCCATATTCAGTCAACATCTGTGTAAAAGTACTTAGCATGCTAAACATGCTGGCATTGTGGTGTTAACTGTCACACAGTTGGATGAGCACAGATTACACTGCTTTGTGTGTAATGAGGTGATAACAATAATGGATTGGATATAAAAAAGTGTTTCTCTTCTCTTTGAGTTGTCAATACAAGGCACGAGGGTCGTGGTTCACTACACAAGCGTTTGCTGCCCAGCAGAGCCTAAGTGGATTTAAAATTACATTACATGTATTTGCACACTTACAGTACGACGATACGAATTGCAGACGAGCCTTTAAGAGCTTTTGTTGAACATAACTACACCACAAAAATCTATGATATGTCCGGTAGCACATTTACAGAGTGGTAGTCTCAGCCAGCTTCAGGGAAGCATCCTAGTTCACATTGTGCACAGTCAGCAAAACAGCACGTATCTAAAAATGACAAATTACTGCACCTTTGACCCCTTCTTTTATAATTTGGGAGCATAGCCAGCACCAATTACGATGCACAGTAGCTGCTCCAGAAAATCCTCTAATGACACAGACATGGGGAAGCAGAATGGGGCGTCTGTTTTGGGAGGAAAAGTTGCTGGTGACCTACTCAACACTGCATCCTGTGAATAGGCCCATGTGTACAAAGAACTGAGCCCCGGAGTAAATCAACGGCCCCATGAAACAAGTGTGTTGTCTCTCAATAGCGAACTGAATCCTCTTTCTTCAGACTCGAATCTGGTATCCGTTCATGTCTGCAGACGATTTTTGCTCCAAGACCTTCTTCTCTCCAGAGGGGCTGCAACAAACAAACACAATATAGACAAAGACAATGAGGTTTATTCACCTTGGAGGGAAGCTGTGACTAATTCACAAGCTACTTCTCCTTTTGCGTTGGAGATCATGAGACGTCTGAAGTCCAAATATGTCCTGGTGACTACAAAGATTTCATATCAGTAGTTATTGTGCCTGTATTTTTAGTGAAGAGCTAAAAAATCCAGAGCACATGATTAGTCATACCGTCTCTCAACACGGCTGATCCTGCGTATGGGGCTGCTTGGTCCTCTGAGGGGTGAACCCATGCTGTTTCTCCTGTCTTTGGTTGGAGAGGGAGGTACAGGCTTTCCTATCTGTGAAAACAGTGCACACACAACATTTTAATCACTTTAAAACATTACTCGATGTCCTCACAGTACTGACTGTCAATGGGCGAAATCTGTCGGGTGTCTTTAACGTGATTGTGCCGAGCACTCAGTGTAAAAGATCAACCTATTGATGGAATAAGTCAGCCACGCACAAGCAGAGCAGAGGCCAGCCATCGCATTAGTTTTAATATCCGCAGCATCATGGCTGCCTTCATGTTGTGCATGAGAGGTGATGAGAGAGAAATCGCTCCTCAAATAGCAGATCAGCTCGGTGTCACTGGGCAGAGAAACAGAATGTCAAAGGAAATTTAATCAGCAGTTAGGAAGGCCGGTCCATCTGCTGAGAGAAAATTAAATTTCTCATCATTGTCTTTAGTCCTGCGGAAGCTCCATTAACTTGTGTCAGCTGCAAAGTGGAGCTTCAGACAGAAATGTTAAGTAAAAGCTCAACATCTGCTTGATGTTTAAATTGAAATTAGACCAGATCTGCTATTTGCTTCTGCACTGACATTCTCAATGGAAACTTTTCTGCAAAACAGTATTTTCTGATAACTGTTTATATACATTTTTACAATTTCCCAGTGAATAATGTGTGGACACAGACAGACATGTTTAGGGGAGTTACATGTTTCGAGGGTAATATTTATGAATTTGGGCAACATGGTATGGATCTAAATAAAAATCTGGATCTACGCTAGTGTTAATAGGATTTTTTCCAGCTGCCTGGTAACAAATAGGGCTACAAACCTGTTATTAACATTATGTAGTAAAGATAAAGTGGATTTGTTGAGGTATCAACTATTAAGATGTATCCTCAATAGTTTCAGAACTATGTCCCACACCAATATGATGGATTTAGTGTGAATTGAAGGGGACTGTAGGGCCTTGGCTGAGGTATGCGCTCCACTGTTCTAACTCTTTTCACCACTGTGCTGTACCTTCAGCCTCATGTCCCGAGTGTGTCTCTCCAGCTCCTTCCGCAGCTCGTCCTTGGTCAGCTTGTCTACATCGAGTATCGAGTGTTTCCACTCTATCTGCTCCACGCTGTGGGGATCGTGGGACACGTACTGGCCGATCTTGACCTTGTGGAGCGTGTGCCAGCAGCCCTTGTAGGCTCCGCCGAATTCCTGCACTAAGTCCATCAGTGTGCGGAACTCCAGGGGCTTGAACATCAGGTCCTCCCTGCGGCTCGTGCCCAGCGCACCAAAACGTCCCCCGCTGTGAACTCCCAGCACAATGTGGTGGAAGTGGTTCCCTGAGAACTGAGACTTAAAGCTGAGGGGGAAGCGCTCCACACCCGGCATGTTGTTGGTAAGGTAACTGAAGGTGGGTCAAGGAAATTGTAGGAAACACTAACACAAGACAGTATTCCGATGTTTGTGAGTTGCCAACAAGCAGTTGTTAAATGCCTATGTCAATATCATAAATTGCTGTGAAAAATCCAATAGGACATTATAATGAGATTAAGATGTTTACAAGTTTACATAATGCAACACTGTTACACACACACAACACAATTTAAAGACATAGCATCTGAAACGTCACAACATGATCTGTTGTTGTAAGGATACATCCCCAAAATCACCGCCTCCAGACATTTGATTGGCAGAGCCTCGCGTGTCATCTCCTTAGCGATGTCCATCAACCTGTGCAGAAAAGTTTGAACAAAAGCGACATGTGAAATAATAATAACCCCAGTGCACCGGTGATGGTCATGCAAATGATTTGGAGAAACTATTCTTGATCTAATGCAGCCAAACATTTTTTTTTCCATGAGCCAGGGAAAATAAAGTCTGTGACACTAAATCTAATAAAGTGAGGTCAGGGGAAAGCTCCAGTTCTCGGCTGATTGACGTTAGCTCCTGCTCACAAAGCCCAGGAGTAAACCTGAGATACAGCTGAGCCACATGCATCAGTCATCAGCATCAAGGGTGAAACCATGAGAAAATCAACCGTCAGCGTGTCTTACGCAGTGAGAGGGCGGCTCTTCTTGATTTCAAAAAACTGTGTTCCCGTGTGATTGTACCTGTAGAACACGGTTAAGGTCATATTACTACAGAGCATTGTGAAGCTGCCTGAGATTAGAGGAAAATCTGCTGCGTTCAGCGAGGAGAAGAGAAAAAGTCTTTGTGATATTCATAGGTTGTTGGTTAATTATGGATGAACGCTCTGACTGGAAATCAAGCTTTTGCTTAATATAGAATATTGTATCCACAGTGGCCTACTTTCTGATGTGTGGCCCATATCTATCACAATGTGCTAAAACAGACGGTCAAGGGAATTGATCAAATGTATTACACTTCTTCTATTTCAGTGAGAAATGGCTTTTCAACTCAAAATAACATTGTAAAAATCATTCAAATACACAGTTTTCATTGTAAAGGATACTGTAAATCCCTGATGTATTTCTGTATGGCTTCCAGGCGTTGTGGGACAGTGGTGGTAGGTTGGTATGTAGGCACACTCGGTACTGGAATCTGTGGGACAGAGGAGCCAAACAACTGCAGAGACATGATACAATCCCAATATTCACTGCAGCTGGAGAATGTCGTCTTGTTTGACCTCTGCGCTCTTTCTCTGCTCGTAACACCACTCATGAGAAACAACTGAAAGGTACCATTCTTCTGTCTTAAACATAGCGTGTATATCTACAGTGCAGGGCAGACTTGACAAAACATGCTCTGTGTGTTATGACCATAATTAGGCTGAGAAACAAGGCACTGAGAAGAGTGCGAACAACCCTCCACACGATACTCTAGTTCTGATAGTGGAAATGTAAAAGAGAAGTGGTCTGAGGATTTCAATGGATTATTTGTCATCAAACAAAAGTAATAATCCACATCCAAAATGTAATGGGTTCTTCCCAGACAGAGAACCCATTCCTCCACCAAGTTTGGTTGGACATTGATTTACTTGTTCTAGTGTTATCCTGCATACAATTACAAGGGGGAATACATGGGGGGGGGGGGTGTATTTAGATGCACATGACTCTCTGTATGTGAGTCATGTGGAACATTGCCCTTCAGCATATGGGTGTAAATTAACTTCTAACTTCTGTATGGTTGGTGTGAAGAGCAGAGTTCCTCCTGTCATGTATAATCAACAGCAGCTTCACATGCTCCAACACTTTACCTTGGGCAGGTCGGTGGCACCCCGGATCTCCCTCCCCAGAGCTTCGCCACTGGGGTGGATCCGAGCCACATGGCGCCACATCCTCTCCCAAGTCTCCTCATCCACCGGGAGCCCTCCCCTGTTCACGTAGAAGGGCACCCCGCCATCCCTCAGCTCTTCTTCGCCCTCGTCCTCCTGCTCCTCGTCCCTCTCCTCCACCGAGCCCACCGTGGCCTTCAGCATCCCTTCTCCACAGAGGTCCCGGCACGAAGCTGTCCTGGACTGGACCCTTTTTCCACTGGGTGTTAATCTGCCTGCAGGTTTGAGTAGGTCCCCACAACAGATGGCCAACTCATGACACCCAGCAGCTCAGTGGCACCACTGTCTCACACAGTCAATGCAGTGAAGGGGAAGGTGATCAGAGCTCACCTCTGTGGCTGAAGCAGGTAAATATGAAACAATGATTTAAAGTGGACCGGTCCTTCTAGGATTAAAGGCTGACTTTGCATTAACTGTGAAGCACTTTGGTCAAACACGTTAAAAGACAACAGATCCTCCTGTGATCAGCCATTGATATGAACGTGTAGATGAAGACATGAAGCTTGTTACAGAGAGGAAACAGTGAATGTTCATCTTCACGCTCGACAGTGTGACGCTATCAGTCTCTAAGAGGATCGACTCTGCAGACAACAAAGTCTTAGATATCTCTAATTCCCTGGAACCGTTAGAGGTCATTCACACCGCACATCCCGCAAATCACTGCCCCGGCACAACCCGCAACACGACACCCCCCTGTCCGTCCACCTCATGTCCCGGTTCTTCACCGCGGTGTCTCCCTCCTCGTCGGCCGCTCCATTGTTCATTAGCTGCTCCTCTCCTCGGCTCCAGCGGCTCGGATCCACAGCGCGGACACTCCCAGAGCCGCGTGTACTGCGCATGCTCCGTGCGCACAGGATGAGCTCACGCGTGACTGATGCTGCATTCAGGTGCTGCTCTGCTCCGGCTCCACATCCATGCATATAAAGTGCTAAGAAACTAAACCTCCTTATAGTGTTTTAAAGAGGGAAGCAGAATCCAGTAGCACCTCATTGTCTCCCTGCGATAATAGAAAAGCGGTAAAAACATTCAGTCTTTGCACCGAATGTAATATATTGATGTATATGAATATCTATATATTTTGTTGATACTTTATCACTTTTGTTAATGTGAACCTTTATTAATATTACATGTATCTGTTTTTTTTGTTTGTATTTGCTTTAAGTTGTTTTGCAAATGTATCAATAAAGTTTGCAGCTCTCAAGGGGAAGGACTATGTGTGTGAGCTAGATTTTATGATAAATCTTACATTATGGGAATATATATTTTACTTACCTAAAAATAAAAACCCTTAAGCATATATCAAAATTTCAAAATGTATATTGGTGTTGATACTGTAAAATGGGGAACATAAAAGTAGTAGAAATTGAATAAATAACAGTTTCAGGGTATTTCTTTTGAATATTTTGTCTGTCATTTGTTGACATTGGGCTTGACCTTTAAATATCTACATCTATGAATAAAGGGATTGTCAAACAAAATCAGGTTATTCATAGAAAAAAGTTTTTGTCCTTCATAAGTACTCCAGCTTTAATCAGCATTAAACTTAGAGGGTTTGTCCTTATTCCTTTCGGATTGGTGCTAATTCTGAGCGTAATTTACATGAAAAGGTAATATATGTACTATCAGGTAAAACAGCAACATGCTCTGTTCAGTCACATACACTTCAACTAATAATCAGTTCTAGTGTTACAATTTCTTCTGCACAATGTTTAACATACACATCAGCAATAAATCATTTGCGATGTTGCATTAGTGAACTAAATCTTTGGAGAAGACAGAAGTCATAAATATCTACACAACAGTGTTGACCTAAAGTTCCTGAGGTTTTCTTTCCCACAATAAATTAGCATCTCTGCTCATAGAAATGTGACTAAACATTTGGGCAGTTGGGAAAAAACCAAGACTGATGAGGACATGCATGGAAACAGTTCATTTATTCAAACAAAATGTGTTATATGGTTTACAGCACAAAGTAATGTTCATATACATCAAACACACCCCATTCCATTCTAATCAAATTAAAGTTCAAAACCAATAATAGTATTTGTATCCATATACATAAAAAAAGAAAATATTATTACACAGGAAACTTCAGTTCATTTACAGGTCCGCCTCAACTGTAGAGATGTTAAAATCTTGGAGCACCATAATCGTCTGGCATCCGTTCAATATTATACCTGTATTTAAAAAGAGAGGGAGGAATAAGTGAGAAAGTTGGATTAAGTATTCACATTTTCTGTAAAAAAAATAAAAAAACAACACAAAAAATATATGTATGTGGTGTACCTGTGGTTTGAGATGTACATGATTGGAACTCCAGGGATCTTCCTGACTCGTCTCTTCAGATCTCTGTCCACAGTGGCCAGGATGTAACACTTGTGCTGTGGAAATATTTTTTCCTCAAGTTACACAATGCTGTGAAAAAAAGTATTCACACCCCTGCTCCTGATTTTGTACAGTATAAAAAATAAGAAAACAAAGCTGTTTCTACTTCTATTGCACTTATTACAGGATGCGCCACATCTCCAGCCTGATATGTACAACATGCATGCAGGATATGCATTGCCTCTCCAAAGCTTTTAACTGCATTTGTTGTGTAACATTGAACCATCTGTTGTCTCCAACCAGACCTAGAAATCAACTATAATCCAATACTGTTTAATCACCTTGTATCATACTGCTATTTTTAATTCTTCCAACAGTAGACATATCAGGAATTTAATAATATACCCTACTGTGCTTTGTTAATCACTCAGTAAACACTGATATTCAATTACACATAAAGCAACAACTTTCCTTTAAACTATTATTACCTGTGTTACCCTTTGGACCAAGCAGTCGTCTGCGTAAGTTCCCTTGTGTGCACATGGCAGGCGCTCAAACCTCGGATCCTTGGCTATCCTGCAAAAACAAACAAGAGCAAAAGATTTTCACACTTGATTCGATCAATTGATGACAGAAAAGAAGTGGACATAAATTACATTGGTTAATTTCTTTGTAATCAAGCATCTTGTACCTGAGTGCAACTCTATACTTCATTCCAAGCTTTTCAATCTCAGCCATCACACAGTCTGTGATATATGGGATACCTGGGTAGATTGAAGAGCAAAATAATAAGTTGTTATTTAACTAAAATACGCTGAATCATAATGAAAGAAAGATCAACTTCATTACTACTTCCCACTGGACGGGAGTACTTACATTTAGCGTAGAGACAATCCATCATCGACTGAACAATGTCCAGTTTGGCCTTGATGGAGAAGTTAATGAAATTGGTGTCGACTAGTACGTGGTACGGTGGACCGAGCTGAGTGTTGTACTGGAAGAACAAGCATGATGGGTACTTGGCCCTGCACAAAGAGTTTAAACAAATCAAGGTAAGGAGCATTTATCCACAACACACCATCTGATTCAAGCGTTTGTGTGACCAACTCACACTTCTCTCTCCTTCAGCTCTGAGGGATCCTTCTTCTTTTTCTCTTTTGCTTTAGCTCGGTCTTTCTCCTTTCTAAAAACAAACAAACAAGGGCTCATGAGGCTTTGATTCACATTCAACGTTGACATTTTATAATTGCTTCATTCCTCTGGATACAATGTGTTAACGGTGGATTAATAGACTTCATAGTGATGAGGAGGTGGTTAAAGCTGGGGTCTCAATAACAGAGACAAGTTATTAAAACAAACCAAACTCACATTCTGTTGTCTTTCAGATTGATCATCCGCTTCATGGCAGCGAACTTCTTTGTTTTCTGTTTCCCCTGCGGCAAAAAAAAAAACAGAATAGCTTTTAAAACATGAACCACAATCAACAGTTCGTAGTGTTTACTGTTAACGCAGGAGAACAAGTGGTTATAACAGTGTTATTCGTTTATTGTAGCTGACGCTGTATGTGTGCTTACGGTTTAGGCTAGGCTAGCTAACTTAGCTCAGTAGTTTACCTGCCAAAGTAGCTTCATTTACTTATTAATAATAAATAAATATCACACATCACAGGGCAGCAGCAATAAAGACAGTAATGGATTGGCTGCCAAATCGTTACAGAAGACTTACCATGGTTTAAATGTGACAAACAAGCCTCATTAGCTTAGTTACAACTAGCTTCACTTCCCCTCGTGTGTCGATGCGCTCACTGGTGACGCAATCAAAAGTCGACACTTCTTCTGTGTTTTTCCGGCTGCAATGCTAATGTTCAGCAGACGAAGGTAGAGACTGTGTTTAATAGCAATGTTTAAATGCAGTTTTATATTCACAGCTTTGCTTTGCGTGCCTGTGCTACTGCAGGCGTCGTCTTGTTAGCACGCTGCAATGTGGACACTGATAAACGACGAGACTCGGCGACGAGTTCTCTGTAATGTCGCGCGGACATTGTTGGCTAACTTGGTTAGCTGCTAGCATCGTTCTCTAGTCAAATGTATGCCGTTTCTTATGCTAAGGATGCTAGCTGCCGCTGATATTAGCTTCTAGCTTCACCGAGCGCCCCAGGCGTCCACAGACTACATTGTTGTTTTTATTGCATTTTCGGATCCGTTTGAAACCTCGGTCGAGCAAATATTCAGTGACCCTTCGGATGTGTTACTCAGCTGTGTGGTTGTTCGTGACAGGGACAGCAGCGGGGGACGTTTGGAAACGTTTTGACACCTGAGCGAGGACGTCCACAAAGCTCCTCATCCAGCAGCAGCATCTGGACTCGCTGGATGGGATTGATTCATGTTCTTGCTCCCTGACTGACCTGGTTTCTTTGACTTGGTCAGGTAAGCAGAAGGCAGGGTGAGTATTATGACCAAGTTGTTCATGCATATTTCAGTGATGTGGATTACATGTAATGCTATTCTCCCATCAGCCAACAGTTCTCCAGGGCGACACTTAAATATTCATGCTTTCTTGGCAGAGCAGTTTACAGTTGAAGCTGCGAGGCTCAATCATTTCCCATCTGCTTGACCAGCGTTCCTCAGTAGACTCCATCTCTTAGAGGTCACAGCATTTTATTCTGTATCTTCTTCATTTAGCAGTTTTGTCTTGTGTTTTTTCCGCAGGACACTTGAGTAGCTCCCTGGTGCATGGCACTTTTCCTGTGAGCACGGAGGGGTCTGCGTGACGGCTGAAAGATGGTCTGATGGACCGCCGCTTCTTCCTGACCTTCCTCTTCTGCTCTGTGTCGTGGATCTTCTTCTGGGAGGTGCGCTGGAAGAAAGGAAAAGAAAGTCAGATTGAGGAATGGCTCCGAGGACATAGCCTCTCTCAATACAGGCACATATTTGAAGGTCAGTGGGTTGTCATGGTTTCATTTGAGATTATCTTTACAGAGCAAAAGTTTGGTTGATGCTTTCGACCAGGTGAAGGGAGATGACTTGGTGTCAGTTACATGGAAAAGGGAACTTTTGAAAATGAAACAGGTAGTGGTTAGAACAGTTTCTCTAACTCAAGGCTTATCCACCACATATACTAGTTTCTGCAGAACTGCTGGGGAAGTCTCTTATGAACTTAACTTGAGCTAGATTCAATGCAACAAGATCGAATTTCTTACTGCTTTGACCTTTTTTTGTTGAGAAATAATAAATAGTCAGGCTTATGAGATGTAAGTGGCATGCACAGACAATCAGCACAGTCATTATAATAGACTTTCATGAATATTTTAGCCTGTGCTGTGGCATTACTGTTGCTGATTTGCTGGCCGGTATGTGGTTGGGGATTTTAATGTGCAGTTCATGTGTCATCCAGATGTACAGACACTAGAGGAACTGAGTCTGAGTGTACTGAGTCGCCTGGAAGAGGTGGTGAAGGAACAGCAGCGCTGGAGGGAAATTGCAGAGGCCCACATCCAGCTGCTCCGAGACTTTGCCTTCCAGGAGTGGCTTTGCTCCCAGAACCTGGAGCACTACCACCATACGTAAGCAATGAAAAGTCTTGATTTCAGCATTTAAACCAATCTGGCAGCCATAAGCAGCCTTTCTCTTCAGATGCAATTACTTTTTGGCATGTTATATTTATATATAGCATTTGTAGTTTTCCTGGCATGGATTTTGACGTTTTTTCAATGTCTTGAGTAGGTTAGGTGGTTACGGTCCTGGTTCACAAAGGTTCTGTTCATGTATGTCCACTTGAGGGCAGCCTCACCATGTTTGCTGACAGTGTTTCAGAGGGTCACTGCAGTAAAAACTATTCTTTAGATGCTGCTATTATGAGACCCTGTAGCAATGCAGGTGTATGTCTGTGTGTGTGTTTGCTGGATGCTCTCTTGATGCAGTCATAAAGACAATGATAAGAAGTTATTGCTTTATCATATAGCTGTTTGTTAATCCTGCCTCCCTTTGAGAAAAATGAAAATGTCAAGGTCAGTAGTGTTTCTAAAACACAGAGTATTTTGTAAAAGTGTGCATCATTTGTAAAGGGCTACAGTGTTACATCTCTGAAGGTCATGCTGTCATGCATTGCTGATTTTAATTCACTGTATTTTAAACTTTTTAAAATCATGGCTGAGTTTCTATTCACAGACTAACTGAAGTAACTAACCATCTTTTCATGTGGAATATCATCTTTATAACACAAGCTGGAAAATCGATCACATCAGAAAAGGCGAAGTGTAAAATGAAAGTGAAATTTTGTACGTTATAACAGAGAATGTAATCTTTTTACAGCGCTGACATTTTTGTTTTTTATTTTCTGTGTGTTTTTGAGTCAGTTGAAGTGTTTGTTAATTCAACTCAAAGAGTTTCATATTATTTTTGTAATTATTTAGTTATATTGGTTACTCCCATATATACAGCCACACTTTGACCAGTTAGTTGCAGAATGAGCACAGCCCATACTAACAGGTCAAATAAAAAATGTTGCAACAGTGACTTTCCGATAAGATTATGTTTGGGTTTTAATGGTTTTAACTATTTATCTACTGAGCATTATCTTCTGCTAACCACTTTAAACTCAAGTGTTTCTGTAAGGCCACTGGATCTCACCTAAGGGTTTAGCTGATAAGAGCAAAGTTACTTTATTGCAGAGTTTCACAACAACTGGTGTTTGTTTAGTGTTTGGGACAAACTGTTTTATTCACAAGTCAGCAGTCTTACTCAGTAGAGTAACACCCTATCTTAAGGCTGTGCTTGTCCAGGCAGTGCTACCACACCGTGTGTCATTAATTATCTACTGTTATATATTTTCACTTTTGTTTTCCTCTGCAGACTGAAGACCTTGGGTTGTATGAATCTGGATGATCTATCTCAGTTTGACGGTCAACTGCAGCTGTCTCTAGCTGCCTGGGGCTACTACTACGAAGACTACGTCAAGTTGTCCACAGGCATCAAGATCCTCAAGACCTCCAGGGGCAGTCGAGACCAGGACTACGAGATCCGGCTGGTGCACAACCTCGCTCTGCGGCGTCTGAATGAGAAGTGGTCAATTGGTGAGACTCAGAATGGTGTTAGTGTGGTTCCTACAGCTACAGCTGAGGTATTTAATGCATATTATAAGACATGAACATATTGTACTGTTGGTAAGTAGTAGTAGAATTCATCTCTCGTCGTACAGCTCAACAAATGTTCTTGTATTTTTCTTTCATAAAAAATGACAATATTCACTCACATTGAAATAAATGTTATTATGTTATATCATTACTAATGCAGAGCTGTAACCCTTGTTACAATGTTGTTCTTGCCAAGGGTGTGTTCACACCATGTCTTGGCATTTTATGCTGCTAGGGCTGTATATTCATAAAACCATGTCATAAAATAAATTCAAATAAATGACAGTAGGATTTGTGTATTGTTTGCATTTTATATTAGTATTTTAATTACTTATTAATTGTTCACATGTTCACTGGTTGTCTTTCCAGCGGGAGCTCTCATATTTGGCTGTACTGTGGCACTGTGCTTCTTGATAAGGGACCTCATGTTTTACGTGATTGGTGAGTCCAGGGTCAACATTTGAGTAGAGCTGATATATTCCCTCCTGGATTTGATGCTACACGACTCATTTTCACTTTCACTTCAAGCACATATTTCATCTGTGACATGCTACAAACAGGTTTTACAAATTAGCCTTGTCGTATTTTATTGCCTGAAGATTTGTTTTAAAGTTTTGTTCCCATCAATACTTTCTTAACTTACCAGGGAGACCACTAATTTCCAGCTTATTCTCTTGTCATTGCAGGTGGAATTACTGTTTCCATCATAGCGTTTGTCTTCACGATTAAGTTCCTCTGTGAGCTTGCAGCGAGAGTTGTCAGCTTCCTTCAGAATGAGGACCCAGGGCGACGTGGTGACCGCAGCATCTATGACTACGTTCGGGGCAACTACCTGGACCCACGTTCCTGCAAGGTGTCATGGGACTGGAAGGAGCCGCAGGAAGTGGGACAGACTATGAGCTTCAGAGTTCAGGTAATGATCGATTTCTAAAGTGTCTAAAGTAAAGATGTCCTCGTTTCTAGTAGTGTAATGATAATCACATTTCTTATGGATGCAGCAGTGTCAAGAATATTAGCTTTGTCTTCTGAAATGTAAAACTGATCTAAATCTTTTTATGTTTGTCTACTCAGCTGTTCTATAAAAATGGTCAGCCCTTCCCAGCCCATCGACCTGTGGGACTCAGGGTCAACATCACACATATTGAATTGGCTCTAGACATCCCGGTTACACAAGAGGTTCTGCAAGAGCCAGAGTCCAATGTAGTCAAAGTGGCCTTCACAGTGCGCAAGGCTGGACGCTATGAGGTTGCGGTCAAGCTGGGCGGCCTCAATGTGGCTTATAGCCCTTATTACAAGATATTCCAACCAGGTATGACTTCTGTATAAGAGCCAACCTGTCTTTCAATTTCAATAATTATTGATTAAACACATTTTTTATTGGTGGTTTACTACTTTTCTGTTCTTTTGTTCACTTTAGGTACAGTTGTCCCATCCAAAACAAAAATCGCCTACCATTTCTCCACCCTGGTCCTGATAAACGGCCAGCAGCACACTCTGCAGATCGAGCCCAGGGATGAGTACGGAAACCCCACCAGTAACTCCACGTCTCTCACAGATGAAGCCAACTACAGCGTCCACGTGCACTCTGTAAGGGGACAAACCCATTTCTGTTATCCATTATACTGTTATTTCAAATAATTCTTCATTAATTGTAACTGTGCAAATGAAAGCCAGAATCTTAATTCACTGGCTTTGCAGCAGAACTGGTTCTTACCGGTA